CCATCAAACACTTCAGCCCAGGTCACTGTAGATTTAGAGGACCTAGAGTATCAGTTGCAGCATATGTTAACTACCTATACTGGGGCTACGGTAGTAATCGCTGGCGATTTAAACTGCTGCCTGTCAAGGTGCGCGGCTGACTCTCCAGGACAGCGACTCCACCGGCTTCTGACAACGTACGGACTGACCATCGGTAACACCCGGCATCCGACCTACCGACCGGCCGGCTCGCTGCTGGATGTAGTAGCGGTCAGCCGTCCCGAGCAGCTGGTGCGCGCCGGTGTGACCCGCTGTCACTACGGCACCCCGCACGACTACACCCGTGTCGTGTTACGGTGCGCCGGCAGGACCAGACCGACCTGCCCGGTCGTGTGGCGCCGACGTCTGGGCCGGATCGATGGCGACAGCTTCAACCGGCAGCTCTACAATGTCGACTGGAGCCCGGTTTTCCGGACACAGCAGACGGAGGAGAAGTGGGAGGCGTTCTGTGGTATCTTCCTCCGCCAGTTGGACACAGTAGCGCCTGTTGCAAAGGTGCAGCAACGAGCGCCCGGGAGCCTGTCTGTCTCAGCACCCACCAGAGACCTGATGGCCCGTCGGAGACAGGCCCTGCGCCCTGGCGGTGACCGAGAAGACTACAAGGAGCTGAACCGCCTGTGCCGCGCGGCTGTTCGGAAAGACCAGCAGAACCACATTCAGCAGGAGCTGGCCAAGGCGGGACCCAGTAAAGTCTGGAGGGTACTTCGGCCCATTATTGGCAACAAGAAGGAAGTGTCGGTGCCCAATGCCACGCCGGATGCACTAAACGACTACTACGTAAACATCGGGCCAAGCACAGCTGCAAGCGTCCCCCAGCCTGCAACGCCAGTGCCGATCAGGCTGCCGCGTGTCACCACCAGCGGGTTCAGACCGCAGCCGATTGACATCGAGTCACTGGGCCAGCTCCTGATGCACATGAAGCCGTCCAATTCAACTGGTATTGACGGGGTTAGTGTCAGCATGTTCCAAAAGTTCTACTGGGGCATGGGTCACGTCCTCCTGGATATCCTGAACTCCAGCCTCACCACCAACAGCGTGCCCAGCCCGTGGAAACACGCAATGGTAACACCGATTCCCAAAGGACAGGGACCATCTGAGCCAGCAAACACCCGGCCGATTTCCATCCTACCGGCAGTGGCAAAAGTTGTCGAACGAGTCGTACAGCGCCAGCTGGTTCAGTACATGGAGGTGAACCGGCTGTTGTCTGCCACCCAGCACGGCTACCGTCGCGGACACAGCACCGAAACGGCACTCGGTGTTATATCAGACCGTGTGCTGGAAGCGATGGATGCTGGAGAGGTATCGATACTGGTGCTATTAGACCTGTCAAAATGCTTTGATGTGGTGCCGCACCGCAGGCTGTTGGACAAACTCGCGCTGTACGGGGTGGAAACGGAGTGGTTTGCGGACTACCTCAGCGGCCACACGCAGCAAGTGCAGATGCCCAGCGGCGACGGTGGATACGTACGATCCGGTGTGAAGCCGAACACGATCGGCGTGTACCAGGGCGGATCACTTAGCTGCACATTGTATACGGTGTTTGCAAATGAAATGTATCTGTATCTACCTGCCAATGTCACGATGGTCCAGTTCGCTGACGACACCCAGCTCCTTGTAAGCGGCAAAAAGCGCGACTTGCCACAGGTGATAGAACGAATGGAACAGGCTCTTGAGTGTTTGTACCAATGGTTCTGTACCAACTCAATGAAGCTTAATGCAGCTAAGACGCAAGTTGTCGTGCTTGGAACTCCTGCTATGCTCCGAGGACTGCCGTCTGTCACACTAAATGCGATGGGTACTGTGATTCCAGATTCTAGAGTCGTCAAAAACTTAGGAGTGATTATGGACAACCATTTGAAGTTCAATGATCATGTCGATCATATCACTGCTAAATGTACCGGCGTCCTTATCGGTCTGATGCATGCCAAACATGTTATACCAAAGGTATCTCTGTCAGTGATAGTAGAAGCGCTTGTGAACTCACTCATCAGGTACTGCATATCAGTGTACGGCACGTGTGGAGTCACTCAGCTTCATCGCGTGCAGAGACTTTTAAACTTTGGTGCTCGTGTCATTAGCGGTCGTCGTAAATACCACCATATTAGCGATGTACTCCGCGACCTGCAGTGGCTGAATGCACCTAGCCTTGTTAAGTACCACCGGATCTGTGTGGTGCACACGCTCGCTACGACGGGCAAGCCCGAAGTTCTCGCAGAAACTATCGGTCGCACCGTGCACCACTCGTACCAGACACGTGCTGCGGGCAACCACATGTTGCCGAGAATTCGCACTGAAGCTGGTCGACAGCGGCTCTGCTACGACACTGTGCGCGAGTATGACCGCTTACCGTTCGATGTCACCGCTCGCAACTTTCGACACCAGCTCAAAAAGCACATTTTTATGGAGCAGTCTGCGATGTCTAGTTAGTTTCAGTTGAGCACTGTGTCTTGAACCTTGTGTATTTACATATTTGACGTATTGCAATGAAAAGCCATGTTCCATGGATTTGCTGTGAATAAAGTATCTGTATCTGTATCTGTATCTGGACTTGAGGGCAAATTGAAATTATATGTGTCAATACTGTACTATTAAACGTTTTTTTTTTTTGCCATGCCTGTAAGCTTTTTGTATTGTATTGTATTGTCTACCTTTTTCTGAGGAGCAAATCACGTTTTCAGCACGGCTCTGTGATAATGCTGTACCATCCGTGTGCCGACTACCGGGAGGTCGACAGGCTAAAGGGCCTTGTGCGGGGCTGCATCCGAAAACACATCATTACACCGTACCCCAAGCTTTCGCTGCTCCGGGTGAGTTTCTGGAACGAAGGGAATAAGTGGAATTGTAATTTTGGGTCCGATGACTCGGTGCAGTTTTTTTTCTTTTCGCCGCACTTACAAAGCTGATTGTTCCCAGTTGTTAGAGTCACTTTTGAAATTATGATGCGATGATAGGAGGGAGAAGCTAGTCGTGAAAGTTGGATATACTTGCCTTTCACGTGGGCTTTTTTTTACGTTTTACGTAAACTTATACTCGTTTAATTTAGTTCGGCGTGAATTAGCGATCAGATGTTCCAGTATCGTGCTGGAACAGGTGTTCTGGTATCGGTGGAATATAGATTGGGCAGTGCTGAAATCCGCCGATAGTGGCGGGATGATTAGACTGAAATTTAGTGGCCAGTTGGGTAACGTTTGGTGATAGTTATATTTTTATCAGATTACGGAGAGGACAGTTTGATTAACATTCGGGGATAATTTTCGACTACCTAAACAGGAAAGTGGAGCAGGGTTTATCCACTGCCTGTATCGGGCAATTCATAGGAAACAATTGTCATATCTTCCTGAGCTGTACTGCTATGATGTACGTATGTTTCATTAGCCGTATGTTGTTCGAAAAGCGTTCACGGCACTGCGTTATAAATGACCAGCCCTGAACGCATGTTTCAGCCGCTGGCGCTGGTGGCCTGGGGCTGTCGTCTGGAGATGTCACACGTGGACCCAGCTACCGTGCGGTCCTTCATCAGGGAGAAAGGACTGAAGGGGCCTGAGGGCGACCTGCCGAAGCAGGGACAGTATGACTTCATGCTTCTGCAGCGAGCAGAGCCGCCTGCCGGCTCCGATATCAATGATTCGGTGCTCTGTCCGAACCAGCCGTAATAACACCTGTGTAACAGAAGGGCGCCATGCGCTGTAATCGTTACAATGGATTATCCGGCCTGAGCCGACAGACAGGCGTTCTGTCGCCGCCGGAATGGTGGTGGGGAACCATAGATATACAGACTGTCTATGTGGGGAACACTGGCTGTTCAACGACGCGTGTGCAGTCGGAGCACGAAGGTAGTGCCGGTTGTGTTGATAATGTCGTACCTTGTGTAACCAAAGTTCCAATAGTTGTTAGTCATATACTATATATTCTGTATTTTTGCATAATTTTATATGTTTGGTGCTTAACGAGACAGCGTCCAGCGTCTGGTTCCTTATCTCCGTCCATGGTTTTTATGTTCATCGCCGTTCGGTATACTATTTTGGCGTTTTGCTTAGCTGCGTATTTACACTATTAAGTATGTGGATTTCCAATCCAAGTTGTTTGTCGAGCATTTCAGCTCGTATTCTACTTATCTTAGGTTATTAGAGGTTTCATCCTGAAGGTGTTCTAACGTCATTGTGACGGACTGGTTGTGGTTGTCGAAATATTTTATTTTTATGTCACGGTAGGTATGTGATATGCTATGGCGGCTGTTGGCTTATATTGAAGTGTTCCGCTTCGTTTACTGCTAAGCGAATGGTATTTACATTTGCTATTTTGACCATTGACCTAAAATAGCATAAGCCTTTCATAAGATTTTGTGGTTTTCTTGTGTCCAAGATGCTATCAATAAAGATCTCAGGACATTATGCCACTTTTGGTGTAACTCCAAAAGTGTACACCTAAAATGGTTTTGTCGTGAAAGATCCGTATGCGACCACTCATCTAACGGAACAGCGTAGGCGCTGAGTGCAGTAGCATGTCGGAGCAGCGGGTGATGTCCTGCCCCGCGGCGAGACAACGTTCTTGCGTCGACCTCTAAAAGGTTAACGATGCGAGGGTCACCAACTCCAGTCCAATAAGTGATTATTGGCGTTCTAAATATGGTAAACAAAACAAGCGTCCTTCGCCGCGATTTTTGTGAGTCGTGTCCATTTGCGGCAGCATAATTCACACCGCCTGACCTTCCGGCTGCCATGAGTGGCTCAGTTTGTACCATGCTCGAAGTCGAGTTAGCTCGATAAATCACGAAAACCAATGGCGTTCATGGCGTAGTCATTATACCCACGGTGAATTATACCCTTATCGTGTCAACACAATTTGAATGTGAAATAATAATTTACCTATCGTTACCCTGACGAGATGCGGCGGATGCGGCGTATGCAGCCTTTTCGACAGCAATGCAAATAACAGATCTTTCGTAAACTCATGGGAAACTACTAATCATGTTCCTGAATTGCTGCTCGCGCTAGCTAAAAACAGCCTCTCGAGCACTACTGCCTATGTTTTGGAGCAATTGGTTGTATGCCTTGTGAGCTCTCTCGACATTTATTTTTTGAGGCATTGTTGATTGATAGGTCGTTGCTAGGTGAGTTTATTACTTTTAAACATTTTATTTGGCTTATTCGTCAGAATTTCGGTTCATTTTACTGAATGGGACTACATTTTCATGCACATAAGTTGTCCAAAAGAATGGGCCAGTTCAAGTTCTTATAAAAATTGTTTTTATTTTGTTGCAGTTTTTAAGATTTCATCAAAACGTGATCAATTTCCTTCATCCAGTATTCTGAGGGCTGTTCACGGGGCACACAGCCTTGAATCTCCGCCCACTTCGTCCCCACGTCAGCCTTCCGTCACCGCACACAGCGATTGCTGTGGCCGGTCGGGACTGGCCACAGCGGACCGTCCACCGCACGCAGCCGCGACGTCAGAACCGCCTACCCATCCCCTACCCCCATGCCTGCTGGACGCACCGCACACACCGCAAGCAGCAGTGTGCGGTGCCCGTGAACACCCCTCGGATTGGAAAGATGAAGATTCCCTGGTATCTTAATTGTGTTAGTATAAAACTAATTACTTATAGGATAGGTACCTACCTACTCAATTATACTTGTGCAGAATTTCAATTTTGAAAGACCACTTGGTCTCAAGGATCCGGTCTTATCGAGCTCCTTGCAATTGCAATTGCCTCACTCAGTCATTCGGATGTGTTGTGTATTTGAATGTGCCCAGGATTTGTCCAGTCTGGCTATGAATGCATTAACCCGCGCATGACTGAAGGGGGGGGGGGCTCTAGCCTCTACAGAGCCCCCTCCTGTTTTTCAGCAATATCTTCTAAACTGTTTGATGGATCAACTCGAAACTTGTGGTACCCTCAGCGGCATCAATTTGACACCTTGTGTTAAAAGTTCAACTTTCTAGCTACCATAGTTTGGCCGGAAATGATGTCAGTGTGACGTCATGTTGGTCGATTTTGATGCAAAATATTGAATGATGGCAAACGCTATCAAGAGCTTAGTTTTAAAGCTAGATCCTATTTTTTTTGCATCAGTGTGCTACAAATACACGTGGCTATCAAAATGCTATCTCGAATTTTCGAAATTCTAAAATTTTTGATTTTTTTCAGTTACAAAAATGTATATTTTTTATTTTTTTTTTCAAAAAGTTTTTGATTTTTTGCTACAACCGGAATATATGTGATAGAACACACACACTGATATACTACTCTAGCAAGTTTTAGCCTAATATCTTCACAAATCGCCAAGTTATTGGCATTATTGTCAAAATTTTACAATTATATATTTTTCAAAACCATTTTTCAGTACGTTTTTGACATCGTACAACAATATAAATGGCGCCATCGTGTTCCTGAGCTCAAATTGCATCTGATAGGCACATTTTTGTTGAAAACTTTCATTTTCAAAATTTGACCTTTTCTGACCAGAAAGTGACCTTACCTCCGGTAAATTCAGCTGAAAATAACCTCAAATGACCCAGACGACATTATTTTCGAAATCTACGAGTAAAATGGAGCATAAAACATGCGTCACGTGACCGATACAATGATACATGATATACAATTTTCGTGACCTAGGATGACCTGGCCTTGCCCTGAAAAATTTGAAGTAAAAGTTTGGTACCCTAAGGGTATCTAATCTAAGGCATATATCAAGAAGTGCGTAAACCAAAAATGAGCCTGATCGGACTTGTCAGCCGGCGGCCAGAGCCTTAATTGTGAACAAGCAAAAATGCCGATAATTTTTTCTTTGACCTGACCTGTGACGTCATCGGTGACCTCGAGGTCAATGAAAATATGTTTCGCTCTACAGTTTTTCCAGGGCTATCAGACGCTGTTTGAATTTTGACGATCGGCCCAGTAGTTTCGGAGATTCTGGAGAGCACCCCCCCCCCTCCCCCAGTCACTCGTGTTATGGAAAATACCCCATCCATGCGTGGGCTAAGGCTGGGAGCGTCGACGACTGATGGCGGTAGTGCATTCCAATTGTTGATGACGCGGACAGAGAAGACATTTCGACACTCTTCAGTTTAGTGTATGGATTGTTCATTCATGCCTTATGACCTATTTCAGATCAATCTGCTTATTCTACTCTGAACCATGACATCAGCACTGCACCTGATGCATGGTCGCCTGCGCACAAACATCTTCAGAGATGAGGCCCGACAGAAATTTGTCACCCTTCTGGACAAAACCGTTGGCACTAAGGTGATTCTTGTCGCCCTTGATATTGTCGAGTTTATTCTAGGCATGATTGTGACGTGCCTTGTGGTTACTCTGCTCCCATGTCATAACCATCTTCAAATTTTCCTCAGTTTTGCAAGTAGAGCTTTTAAGCACTGTATTTGGTTTTACCAGCAGATGTGAGCGGCAGTAATGCTAAGCTAAGAGTTCTCAAGTTAATGCGCCAGAATGCTGATCATAGATTTTGCTCAAATTGAAAAAAAAAACAATCCATACATTGGAGTTCAGTTCAGTTATTTGATTTTATCTTAACCATGTTCTATTCACACTCACCGCAATGTGGCAAACAGCCCTGCAAACAGCCCATTCCATTGACCGCGCCGCCCCTGTGCGTCAGGCGATCGTCTGGGACGAGCGGCTGACGGGCCCGTTCGGCCTGGTGGCCGAGTACTCGTTTCTGCGCGAACACGACGTGGCCAAGATGTTCCCGCTGCGCGCGGGCCGGCTGCCGCCCAGTGACGTGGACACTGTGGTGTTCCTCGTACGCCCAGAGGTCGGCCTCATGGAACTGGTCGCCGAGAACGTGCAAAAGTACGTGTGTACGTAGAGGGCGGAAACGTCACGTCGGTCCGTACGGTCAGTGGGCGAGAGGCGGGGATGGTGAATGGTACAGAATGTTGAAACATCACACAGGCTGCAGAGTGCAGTATGTTGTAAGGCTAGCTGAATGTCGAGAAAATTAATTTGGTTACAAGGAGATGGGCCATGGGAGTATAAGACAGTAATGTGAGAACCTGTGCGGTGTTGTGCACATAGGTTACAAACTCCATCGCACCCACATGCAACGATCCTTGCATTGTTGAAGTGACATTACTATGCAACAACTGTCGCTGTGTCGATGACCCAATCAGTCACAAATCGATGTCACCTAACCTCACCTGTCTGTTCGATAGACCAAGACAACCTTTTCATTCCATTTGCCATTAATACCAAACCTCAGTTCATCTTCCATCGTCCGCCCATCCAAAATCAATAACCGCCCGTCTGTCCGTCTCCCAGGGAGGAGGAGCAGGGCGGCCGGCGCAAGGAGTTTGTGCTCTGCTTCATGCCGACCGGGAGCGGCGCGTGTGAGCGGGTGCTGGAGGAGCGCCGGGTGCGCGGCACCTTCAGTCAGATCACCTGTCTGGAGGTGCGCCTGCTGCCGCTCGATGCCGACCTCCTCTCCATGGAGTACCCGCTCGGATTCAAGGCACGTGAGGACCGGGTGATAGTGGGTGTGGACTGTGGAGGGGATGAATAGATAGGAAACAAGGAGACTGGTTGTTTGTATGCACCCCTTGGTGTAGGTGACGGATGAAGTGTCCAATTCGAGAGGTTGATGTTATTTCTGTTCAAAGTACGGCCTCTTTTTGGTTCTCGACGTGATTCGACCTTACTCAACGTATTTACAGATGCGAAGTTTATAAACCGAGATATGAAGTGCATTTACTGAAGCATGTCACTTATGGCTGAAATTGTTGCTGTTTTTTACAGGAGTACGCCCTGGAGAACGACCCGAGCTGTCTGTTTGAGGCGGCCCAGGCGCTGCTGGAGATCCAGCTCAAGTTCGGCATCATTCCCTCCATCTGTGGCAAAGGAAACGCCGCTAAAAAGGTGGGCTATGATTACATTGCAAGAGTTACCACCTTTTGTTAGGTAGTTTATGTTTCTGCGTTATGCTGGTGAGTCATATATCCGATCGTTTTATTAATGAAAAGATGCTGAAGTCAAATACGTTACCGATCGCGGTGATCGAACAAAAATTATCTAAACCAATTTTCGTTCGCCGACTCCATCTTGGCGTCCCGTATCAGAGATAGTCTGAAATGTGAATAACCAAGTGGCATTCACCGACATGACTAGAAAGAAGTGCGGAGTTGTGGCGGTTACATTCCAAGCGTGCACCTGCCGGCAGTAGCGGCCGGGACCTTCACCTCACCCTCCGTCCGCCAGGTGTACGACTACCTGTTGAACCTGCGCCGGGAGCACCAGGACTCGGAGTTTCCGACCGTCTGCGAGATTGACACACTGCTGCTGATTGACCGCGAGGTGGACCTGATTACACCGGTGGCCACCCAACTGACCTACGAGGGACTCATCGACGAGGTGTTCGGCATCCACAACAGTGAGTGCCGCTACACTGAGATACTGTACTACCACCCAGCTCACCTAGGAGGGAGGTGTTCGGCATCCACAACAGTAGGTGCCGCTGATGTTGCTGTACTGATGGACGCAGCTGCTGCAGGGATGCAAGGAAGATGAAAATAATTTCCCTTATAATGAACATGAAGTCGACAGCCCGTTGAAAGGATGGGTATTGTATGATTCAATGACGATCGAATGTTTAATGAAAACGTTCCTGCTTCATTTGTGCATTTTTCCTAATTTCCACTCATTCGCTTCCTATGATGATACGTTTGCCGCTCAGCACCACAATAGATGGTAAGTGTAAGATGACCTACCCACCCATTGACACCGTTCGTCGTTCTGGCATGCTATTTTTACTCTGAAGGACGACTTTCCACTTTTTTTTAATAAGCGACCGTTTCCCATCCCGATGACATAATGTATAGCTACCGTAGTTCGGAAAGTAGCGTATCACGTTCGATGCGTCCGTCGCCACTCCCTATCGTGGCTCCCTCGGTGGTGGACTTCGGGGATGTGCCCCGCACAATGTGACAAGCTCTTTGGAGAGACAACTTGCGTCTTTTTATTGCTATACTCGCCAGTATCTAACCCAAAATACCCGTCCATTGGCCATTGTTGTGATTGTGATGACGAAGGCCGCAGCTACGAACGACCTTGGCAGTTATTGTCTGATGCGTGAACAATCCCCAGGCTTGACATCCCTCCTTTGCGTGTTTTGAATTCGGGATCATTTCGCAAGGCATTCATGCCGACCGTCTAGACACGGCATGCGCGCACAGTTGCGGTTCGGCTCATGCGACTGTCGGGGTGTCTCACCCCGACTTTCCGCTCCATGCATCGTTGGCTTTGGATGGCGTTCCGCCGGCGCGTCCCTGGCACCGCTGTGTGCCTGCGCCCACTTTCGGTCCACATTATCCGGGGTTATCGGTCTGTGCCCGGTTGCGTCATCCCGGCGATATGACAATGTGTTGAGGTGAATGACGGGCCCATCATACATACAACGGATGGATCCGTGACATGCACAGAAAGAAAGGCAGCTTAGGTGTCGATGAGCTGAAACAGAGTGAAAGTGGTTCACTATAAATGTGAATGTGGCGTTGACACTTCGCTTAGCAGGGCAAGTTTTATGACGGATAGGTGACCAATTAGTTTGCACAGCAGTTGTTGATTGATGATAAGGTACATTCATGTATGATATTCTTATATTAGCGAGTGAAGCGGAAAATTGACATGCTCGAGAGGGTCAACATGAAAAATATCACCACTACCAAGTGATATACAACCGACAACAGAGGAGGCATGTCTATTCTATTTAAATAACATACAAAACAATAAATGCAAGTCTTTGGATGTGGCCAACACGTAACACCAATTCTTTGAGTCCACAAACTACTTGCAGTCGAACGCTAGGCGTCTCTCTGCTGCGTCTGGCCGCGAGCTAACTACGTGCGTATGCGCATCGGGTTCCACTCGCCGAACTGCGGGGAGAACCGGTGCAGAGGCGAGTGGATGAACTGGGCCAGCGGGTGGCTGGGGTCGGCCGCCGCCGGCTCGGAGGGACCGGCTCCGAAGGCGCCACTCTGCCTGGGAGCGCGCACTGCGGCGCTCCGCGCCTGAGGCCGCTGACTGAGGCGACCCTGCCGGGCGCTGAACTGGGCGGACGGCGTAACCACGCGGCCGGCAGGAGCTGCCGCCTCGTCATCCCCAGAGCGCGACGCCGGTCCGGCTGGGGAGCCCGTCTTGTGCGACCAGGAGTGGTCCTGGGCGGGCGCCGCGGTGGGGTGTGCGGGGGACGCCGCCGGGCCGGGCTGCCCGCCGGGCGGAGCGCCGCCCCAGCCGTGTCTGATGGTGTTATCGGCGACCAGCCAGGCGCCGGCGGTCGGCGGTGGAGCGCTGCTCTGCAGCCTCCAGGAGTCGCCGGCAGCACCGGCGGCGCCGGCGGGCGGCTCGCGGTCGCCGCCGGTAGGTACGGTATTGGCCTCGGGACTCCAGGGAGCTGGTCTGACGCCCGCGGGCCGGACTGGGAGGCGGCGCTGCTGGAGCGCCGGCGGTCGGCCCTGCGGCCCCGGTCCCGCCGCCGGCGGCTGGTTGGGTCTGGCGTGCTGTCCGCCCGGCTGGTGAGACGGTCCCGGGCCGGGGTTCACCAGACGGCGGATCTGTGGACGTCCGCCGCTCAGCGGCTGTGGCCCCTCTCGTCTACCCTCCGGACGGGGGCCGTCCTGTGGCCCCTCTCGGCGGCCGTCGGGCCGGGGAGCCGAACGGGGACCGTTCTGTGGCGCCGCCACTGATCCCTGCCCCTCTCCGGGGCTGACCTCGCGCTTGGCCGGTCCGGCGAACCCCAGCGGCGCGCCGCTGTCGGCCCGCCGGCCGAAGCCGGGCCCCAGGTCGGCAGTGAGCGGCGGCAGCGGGCCGGAGAACAGGAACGTTGGCTGGCGCGGCTCGGCGCGCGGCGGCGGCGCGCCCGGCGCCTGCTGCGGCGACGGCAGCGGGATGCCGTCCGGCGTCTGGTACGATACCGTGGCGCGGTAGCCGTTCTCGTCGGCCACGTAGTTCACCACCTGTGGGTGACGAGGTCCGGTTAGGTGTAGAAGAAATAGTTAAGATGTTTAAACAGTATGGACGCTATGTACGTTCATACTCGTACATACTCAATCGTCAGTGACTCAATCGACGATGGCGTCCACTTGCACACTTCCTGATCCTTCTTCCGGACTTACTCTACCGGACTAGTATAAGCCGGACTTATTCGCCCGCGGGTGCATTACTGTGTTACCTCATACCAAGCCTCATACCCACCTGAACGCGTCCGTCGGGCAGCAGCGTGGAGTAGAACCCGGTGACGGCGTTGCCGTTGCGCTGTTCGTTCTGCTCCGAGTAGGTGGCCTCTGCCGGGTCCTCCGTCTTGTACCCGTACGTGTACTGAGCTACACCCTGGGTAGTAAATAACGGGACACACTCAATGGAATGGTGACGGATGATATCCGCTGGGCGCTAATGCCTTTTAAATTCGCTCACTTTCCACTGACTGCCTCTTTAATAATTGATTTCATTTTTATTCATTGCTTTATCACGACAAAGTAAGCCGCAGCGACGCATCAATATTTGGTGTGAACTTCCTTTAAAACAACAGCAAGAGCGTTATAAGTCCATCCCAATAATTATTTATATCGATGGCCCCCGTCTGCCCCGGTGTACTGACGTCGGGCGGCGGCTGTCCGAGCGGGGTCAGCGGCGCCGGCGCCAGCGGACCGCTAAAGAACTGGTTACCGGGGTTGATCTGAGCTCGAGCCGCTGCCGCCAGCAGCGCTGCCAGCAGGATGGCCCGCATCTAGACACGAGATGGGGAGACGAGATGGTCAGACGAGATTGGGAGGCGGGGCCTAAGTAATCGAGACATGTGGCTGATTATTATAATAACAATAGAAGATGCCTGTTGGTGATGCTGGCTTGATCACCGCATCGTGATGTGTGCTTATTTCTGAGTCGAAAGCTGTCTGAAATACCCCAACAACATTTTGTTAGTTTAGCTGGTCGAAAACATGGTTCTGAGTTTGTGTGCTAACATTTAGACATGAATATCAGGTTGTGAGGTGAATATATTTAGCAATGTTTATCGAATTTAATCACCATCGATCGTCATTATCATTGGGCTCCTTTTCTGTTAGAGCTGCTTGAATTACGCTAAGTTGAGTATTTCCTGGTTCGACCGTGGGTGTACAGATTTTGGCTCTGGATCATCCTAGATCGAAGACCTACAAGAAGTGCTTGATTAACAACCTTATTGTATTTTAGCACAACATATGCCTCAACTTTGGCCACTTGTACAGTCTCTTGAATCCAATTGTTTACGCAACACACTGGCGACCAACTGGCGATGACTGACCTTTGCGCACCGGTGTCTTCAGTTGCTCGCTGAGCTTTGATGCTGTGTCCTCCAATTTCTGACTAGAGCTATCACTGACTACCACTTCCTGACCACCGCCTGCACTCGATAGGAGCTCCCTCTCTCCCACGATTCGTGGCTGCCGCCCCCGCACGACGCACTCCACTGTGGCCCGCCGGGCGCGGTGAAGGGATTTATACTGCCGTGGGCGAAACGGGCGGGGGCGGTGCCATGGAGCCTGATCGCCGCTCCTGTGTTTCTATTCAATGTACGCTTGACGCTAGCCTTGTTTGAAGGAATGCCAGTTATTCTATTTTTTGTGCATTTTCCTTTTCTCTTTGTCTTTGTGATAAGGAAGTGAACGTGACATAGAAACCATCCACCACAAAGCTCATAAATGTGTAAATATTTGGCACGTGACCGCACGGACCTGCCTTTCTACCCTGAGCTGGCTGAAGGTCTTTAACTTAAATAAAATGCCTCCTTGAAAGTTGAACGTGTATGCTCTCTGATATTTAACACGCACCTACATAAAATGCTACATAAAATGCTCGTTTTTAAATTCCATATGGGATAGCTTATTTATGATAGGTCTATGACTGGCATTCGAGTCATCAACCAACATTTCTTATTAAAAACTTCTTTAAGTTCTTTGGCGTTTTTCAGTTACCTTAGGCGGTTCGTTACTTTATTACCGCTGCCATTACCGCTGAAACCGGTGTGCTGCGCGCCCCAGCCGTCCTATGGTCCCGGCGGCGGCGACCCGTGACCGTGCCCAGACGTTCCGCCGTACCGGGCACGCCGCTCCGACCCACACGGCGCGCGCCACGCCGTGTCGGCGCCGACGAGGGTGCGCGGGTCGACGTTACGTCACCGGGTGAAGCTCGGCCGGCGACTCTGATGGCAGGCTGCGTACAGGAACGGTCACACCGTCACGGCGGGTGTAGGTAGTGCACCAGGCACCCGGGGCGGTCTGCGTTGTGTTTGGATATGGCTTACCGACAGGTTTACCGACACAGTGACTCTATTTGTAATCTGAAGTTATCTCTTTGTGGCTGTTAGTTGCTCTTGTAATTATACTTTTTCAGTATGTTTCTGCCTTTCAATGGATGGGGACAATATCTATGAAAACTACTTTTTGTGCTAAGTTATTGCGCTGTGCGGCTGTGGAATGCTGTTTAAACAACTTGGATAAAATACCCTGCATAGTTAGCGTTAAATCATCTGATTTTGCGTAATAATTGTCAGTCAACGCAACTTCTTGGGCTTAATGTATGTGGAGTTGTTGGGTTCGTAGAGTTATTACGCGTGAAACTGTCTCCATGCACGTGCATTCAGAGATAAATGCTGTCAGCGCGCCTATGAAAGGAAAAGTAACGATGCATGGGTGTTTTATGAGCTGATGTTTTATGGTAGCTTATTTTGCAACGTCCCGATTTCAAGGTTCGAGTTGTGGTTTGATCGTCGGGCTTACATCGGGCAAAACTATACGTGCTCAGTGCTGTAATCCTATACAGCGGGGAGCATAATATCTCGACAGGGCAAACATGTTTTCTGAAACGGTTGTGCTGTGTTTTGTGCAAAAAGGCGTCTTTTTGCGATCTTGTTTCTGTATTCTGTTCATGTACTCATATTTTTGTGTGGGTCGTTTTCATTAAAGGGACCCTCCCACCTTAACATTAGTTTTGAGTTGAGATAGCCAAGTTTGCGGCCAGGCTCAGAAACCACCATTTATCCTGGTCGCAACCCCCGCAGCTTTATGGTGTTCAAGAAATTTCTTCCCTTTACTTGCAGGGTGGGACCAGCGTGGTCCCTATCTCTTAACCATTACGGGAATCTGATGACGTCATCAGGCTTTCGAACGTCCGTTAAATGTTTGACTAAAACGTTTTGTAGCACGCGGTGGTATATGCTGCTTTGCGCGCAACAAATGCCGCACTTTCAAATAAAGTCGCTAGGAACAGCGGAGATCCCAAAAAGTAAACAAAAGTAAAAGTCTAATATCTTGAAAACCGATGAATATTTTTCGATGAAATTCGGTAGATATTCGTTTTTGCTCTTTCTGAACCGAGCGACATCACTTTCATGCCAATTCATTAACTTTTTTGAAGGTGGGAGGGTCCCTTTAAAAGACTACATTTTTATCTCCTGGGATCCAGGCGAGACTAAGATAGCTCATAGCCGAACTGCCCACTTTTCTCACTGTTCTTATATAATTGAAGAACTGCGAGCAGTCCATCTTGAGCTATTTTCTAGTGATGTTAATACGATCCAAAAACAAAGCAATACGGCCTGCGGGCGCCAATGATCGCTATTATGGCACTTGGAATGAGCCCTGTTTTGGGACAACGTGAAACTCCGAGTCCCCGACCGCATCGTATCATAACCAACACCAACATTACCACCTGCTTAGCTTACCACCTGGCACCTAGCGACTGTTTTGGAGTCGTATTGAGTTGGCGTTTGAAGGGAAGGGGCGAACTACAGTCATCTCGCGCGACGCGCCCAAAACCCCAGAGTGGCAAGCGCTGAAGTCTGAATGAAGTTGCCTCATTCTCATGCCTGCAAATGCCATTGAAAGTGAGCGTCACACCGGTTAATTGTCTGGCAGTTTTAACTGCGGCGTACGGAGTCGGTGCGTGAATTAAATTACCCTGGATTTTGGAGCGTACTCCGATAATTACACGGTGGATGGGTGACACTATAGTTGGGTCCAGTAACGGAGTTCTACATGCTGTCACGATGCCTATGAGTATGGAGTGCCTGGCTGGCGTAATACGCCGCACAGTTTTGTCCTTTTTTAACTCAGGCTAACCCAAGATGGCTGAGTAGTTAGGATGCTCTTCTATTGTAAGATTTCTGGAGTTTGTTTGACGGGTATTTGACAAAATCACTGACTATTTTATGCGGTGGTTTCTTAGCTGCATGATACGCAATATTTATGAAGAAAGGCGACGGTAATGTCAACCATCTTACAATCCTTATCTTATTCTAGATTTCCTTTAGTGGTGACTGGTGCACATAATTATCGTTCCTATTCATAATCACTTGTTTCAGTTGGCCTTTACGTGTGCATCTTGAAATATGTATTTTGAGATACCTCTAAGACTAGTTTAATTACGAATAGCTTATAAAACTCTAGCCCAGCGAGCATCGTTGCGTTGATATCAGTTAACGTCATGACATTGTTCACAAAATCTACTGGAGTCGACTATTTTTCGTCATGGCCCGGGCGTTTGAACGTTTCACTTTTGTGCGTGATGGTTCACGGTGACATTTTTGCCGATATTGCACTGTGCGCGCTATGACGACAGGTTCCCACCCGGCCAGCGTGTAATCTCGCCCCATAATACGCTTATTAACTTTTGACTGCACCCTCCGAGCAACGGTTACGTAAAATATAGCGAGGGGACACTTTCGCTTATGTCATACGAGCTGATTTAATGGCAGGGACCGTCAAAAACGAGAAGGAAAATAAATTGTAAATGCGCTGGAACACAATGAGCTCAACACCAGCGCGACCCAAACCCGAACTAACGAGCTGAGTTGCGTTGTGTATCTCAAATTGCCGAGCGTTCCCCGCGCACACGTCGACATGGTCATAGAATACTGAAGTGCTCAGTGCGCCCCACTCGCACGATGCACGCGCTGATGTCATTGAGCTGACGGTCGGGTTACCTGTCTGTGTTCGCAGATACGGTGAAGCTGCCCTCGGAGAAGTTTGTCAAGCAGGACGGCGGGCCCATCGAGATGACGAACGACCGCAAACAGTTCCTCCTGAGCTCGGCGGAAGAGTTGTACGCCGACATCAGGTTAGGACACTAGGGGAGAGAGTTCAGGAGGGGTGACAGGTCGTACCTAGAAGGTGATCACTGTTCAAGTCACGACTCTCGGAAGTGAGGTTAGGCTTGTGAGGAACTGAGCTCTCGGAGGTTAGGTGATGGGGAAGGTCAGAATAGGATGACAAATCAGAGGACGTTCATTGCGGTGCCTTTTCGACACGTCTAAGACAGGCAACTGGGTCAAGTGGATCCTGAAGCTTTTGGCATTGCCGCCGATCTGTAAGTTTCTCCACATATTTACGTGTTTAGGTATTCATGGGTTCACTCATTGTTCCAGGGATAAGAACTTCAACGCGGTTGGTCCGGCCCTCAGTAGGAAGGCGAAGCAGATCTCTGCTCAGTACGAGGAGCGACATTCTCAGTCGGTCAGTGAGATGAAGAACTTTGTCAAGAACGTGCTGCCGACCATCAAAGCCGCCAAGGAGTCACTCGGACTGCGTGAGTAATGAGTTTATTGACAATATCGAAGTGAACAATGTGGATTGTTTCTGGAAGGCCTCTACATGCCCCACTGCAGATAATTTTAATGACTCAATATTATATGGTGTTATTACGTGATGTGATTGTTTTCATCCACTGGGCCACCGATCTCGTAGCTATTCGCTAGTAAAGGCTATGCTTGTTAATCTTTTATTTTTTTATATGTAAATGCTGTTTTATGTAAATAAGATTAATGTTGGCTCGTCATCACTAAACTGACCCGTCTGCCGACCCCCCCCCCCCCCTCCCGCAGACACGTCGATCGCCGAGCTGATCAAGGAGCGCACCGACAGCGAGTCATTCCTGGAGGCGCTGCAGACCGAACAGGAGATGATGAACGCCATCGACACAGACCGGGCGCACCCGCACATCGAGCAGCTCATCGCCAAAAAGGCCGACCTCACTCGGGTGGGTGACGGGGTGTGCAACGGCGCCGGGCGTGGAACTGATAGGCAGTTGTTTATGTTGTTTTCTGTGGAGGGGAAAATGTGCTTTGGCTGGTTTGAACTGTCTGGGCTATTTTTTTTTCTTGAAATATTATTTGAGATAAATGTGCTTGTGCAGTGTGCACATGAAGCTGAGGTGACACGGATATTCAGAAATTGAAGACCTTTCACCAGTTTTACTTCTTACTGCTTATCGGGGCTTCTGTGATTTCGGGGCTTGGGCTCGGTAACTTGGGGTCTGCGCCCATAATATTTATCCACTTTGTCGGTCTGACTCGCTCTTTTGACTGCGCAGGTACTGCGGTTGATCTGTCTGCAATCGGCCTGCAACTCTGGCCTGAAGCCGCGCCTGATGGATCAGTACCGACGCGACCTGCTCCAGACCTACGGCTTCCAGCACGCGCTGACCCTGAACAACCTGGAGCGGGCGGGCCTGCTGCGCACGCAGGGACGCACCACCTACAGCGCTCTGCGGCGGCAGCTGAAACTTACCGTGGATGATGTGAACGAACAGGCGCCCACCGATATATCCTACACGTTCAGCGGGTGAGGAAGCGGCCGGAACCGAGGTGGGGGGGGGGGGGGGGGAGAGGGGAGGCGGACGAGACGTGACTGGGGCAGGGTGGGACGAGGGAACGGGCAGTGCGACGGGCGGGTGATGCAGACAGAATGTATTGTTTAAAGGGTTGAGTCAGTTGCCGCCTTGTTATTTTCGATTCACCGGCAGTGTTTTGATTCGATGTTTACCACTATTGGAGATCACCACCGTCAGGGCGCCATAATAGTGCAGTGTTACCGATAATGGGGCATTGTTGTCGGGTGGTAATTGTCCAGTCACGGACGGGGTGGCGCAGTGGCACGCTGGCCGGCCGGAAATGAACCGTTACCAACGAGCCCGTCTGCCGGGTCTGTCTGGAGGTACCCGACCAGACCCGACCAGCGGCAGGATCATGAAGCCCGGAACAGAAAGCGTGACCGTTTATCATATCACCGATTGTGTAACTTTAAACTTAGAACGACAATCAACATTTCATCGAACCAGTAACCGTTTCGACTGGGTATGGTCTTAAAGTACTGGTTGTCGTTTCGATTATTATTTTTATTGCAATGTAGGGTTGCTTCAGCTTTGGCGTAAACTTTTTTTTCAACACCCGCACGTTGATAATTTGGCGTACTGTACAGTAATGCTGCCTCGCGACGCTAGGCAAGGGTGAACCGTAGGTAGACCTGAAGTTTTTCACAACACCTTACACACAATATCACAAAACACAATAGGCTGCTGGTTAGAGTTGTCCGAGCAGAATGTGCGCCGGTCGGTGCGACTACACAGGGCCCGAGCGGGTGACGATCGCAGGCTCCTCTCCCGTGACTGGATGACTAGACGTGGGTCGAGCCGGAGCGGTGTTTCGAGCCGGCCAGCTCAAAGAACAGCACGTATGCCTTTCCGCTGTTGACGTTTCTCTGGTCCATCACGTGGACCCGCGAGTCGTTGTACTCGTACCACTCTGCCGTGTACGGGTGTCGGCAGTAAGCGGTGTAATGTCCTGAGAGCAGCGTGCCAGAGTGGTTCGCCACGCCGTATAGGCTGTACCGGCAGGGCGTCTGTCCGGCCGAATAGGGCGACAGGTCCAGGTCGTTCACCGAAAAGTCGACAGTGGTGTTCAGCTTCCCGCGGAACCTCTCCTGCGGCGAGAACCGCTTCAGGTGGACCACCAAGATACGAGGGAACTTCTGGATCGAGAGGCTCCTGGTGCACTTTTGGTGCTTCTGGCACTTTGAGCAGGTCGGTTTTTCGTCGCCATCGAGCACCTCCTCTTGGGTGAACAGGTCAAAACAGGCCTGTAGGCGCACCTGGCCACTTCGTGACGGGATTGGCAGACTCAGATCCCAGAACGGGTCGAAGGTAACCGATGCGTGGCCACATACCGTGCACTGCAGGGTAGCCTTGAGCTGGCCCACGAACAGGTCAACAAACTTGGAGTTTTCCAGGCGCAAGAAACGTTTCCAGGCCTCCATTGACTTTTGACTGGCGCTCAGTGAGTCGTCGATGTCGGTCGTGATCGGCTTTGGCCGGCTCGTCACCCGGTTCACGTCCTCGTGAAGTCCCTGCATTAGATATCTGAGGAATTCCTGCGCGTCCTGCTGCTGGGAGCCCATGAAGCGCGGCGCGAGCCGTTGGATCATCGACTTGAGTGGTGCGGTGGTGAGCACCCGCTCCGTTTCGTCCGAGGATGTCCACATGTCGCGTATCATGAATGAACACATTCATGTCGCATGAATGTGTTCATGAGGGACCCCTTCGTAGCGGCGGCAGGCATGCTGGCATCTGAGGAGCGTCCATCGCGCAGGATGTAATCGTGGAGAGCGCGTGTGTTGCTCAGGCACTGGACGACTGTGTTCAGGAAGCAGGTGTTGCCCATGTTCCTGAGGCCGGTGAGACCGAGCGGTCTGCCGTCAGATTCACTGCCAGTCCCGCCGCCGTCTTCGCTGGGGTTGCCGGGCAATGAGTGGTGAGACAGTCTGGTGTTGGGCGGTGCAGAGGCCTCCTCCGACGGGAGTGCCAGCGGCTCGTCAGCTAAGAACTCGGGTGAGGCCTGGCACTCGGGTGGGGTCTGTTTTGCTGAGGCTCGGCCGGTCGTCGCAGACGGAGGAGGCGAAGGCCGGGTGCGCATCCCTGTCACTTCTGGTGGTGGCTGCTGTCGGCGGTCTGCCCTCGCCCGGTCTGTGGCGGCTGTGGCGAGAACCGCGGCGGCGTTGCCTCGCACAACGGCGATCGAGAGTCGCTGTAATAGCCATTCGGTCTCGCGTCGTTCGCCGGTGCGGGTGGTGATAAGCTGGCCCAGCTCGCGGATGAATTTTGAGGTGGCGGGGCCGAGGACTCCGGAGGTCTCTACTGCGATGGGCACGAACTTGAAGCGGGAGCTGATTTCTGAATAGTGGCGCCGTTTTCTGTCTTCTGCGGCCCGAGCGGCAGCACCAGGCTCTAGGGCGGTCTGAATCAGCACAGTGTCGGCAAATGTGTCTGCGCATGTGGCATCCCATGTCAAACACATGCCTCCGCTGTACGGAAACAGCGTTAGGCCATCAGGTCGCTTGCCATCACCCCGGTCGAGGCCGACTGGCTACAATATGGAGGGGATGCCTGCGCTTGCCAGTCCGCGCCTCACCACGTCATTCAGTTGGGCGTGACCGGCGCTCTTCACGCAGGAGAGCCCGTGGTGGCCGAGCTGATCCACTTGACGTCCGCACAGACGGCACCGGTGCTGCTCGCAGACTGTGGCTCCGAGGCGGAGAGCCACTGCCACCCGCACCGACTCCTCGTCCAGGTGTAGGCCGAGACTCGGCACCGGCACAGCCTGCAGCCAGGCGGCCGTGTGTGGCTGACTGGCGGCGACCAGGCGTGCCCGGTGCAGCTGGTTGGCGGAGTTGACCATCTTATCGCGAATCGCAGTGGCTGATAGGGTGTCCCAGGCCCGCTGGCTGCTGACAGCTGATGCGGGCGGCAGTTGTTCGGTCCCTGTCACCTCAGAAAACCGGTGAATTGCTGTCTGCAGGGTTGGTGGCACACCGCTGGCCGGAAGCAGCCCCGGAGAGATGCTGCGGAGGAGTGGCAGAGCAGCGTGCAGAGAAGATATGTAGCACGGCAGTGCCAGGTCCTCGACAGAGCGAACTCCGAGACCTCCCAGTCTGAATGGCAGTTTTGCCTGCTCCCACAGCTGGTCATTGATATTTACGTTTGTGATATCGACCAGAGTTTCTCGCACCAGCTCGTCCACCAGCTTGAGCGCGGGCACCACCTTGTACAGGGGCGCTGAGCGCAGCAGGTACTGGAGGCGAGGCGCTGACGCGTAGTGGACGAGAAAGAAAAGTCCAGTGTGTCGGTCCAGGTGCGTCAGTCGGGTGCATAGGCGTCCGATGAGTTCGGCGGCACCATTGGCCGCTGTGTTGAGGCTGGCGTCCTGCAGTGGTGCGCCCAGCAGAGTGACGCTGTGGAGAGGGATTTCTGTTATCTCCGGCAGGATACTGCGAATGCTGTCGACCGCTGCGTTGCGAGCTATCTGGGGCGCCGCGTCGATGATGGCTACCTCGCACTTCGCCGGGTTCAGCTGCAGACCGAGTTCTGTCAGAGCCTTGGCGAGTGAGTGGAGGTCAGACTGGACGACATCAGCCGGGCCGGCGATCGTGGCGTCGTCCAAGTACCACACATTCAAAGGCGATCTTATGGCTCGGGCGCATGCGTCGACTCCCAGTGCGAAGGCGGCAGGTCCAAGAGGATCCCCCTGCTGGACTCCGGTCGCTGACAGTACCGTCTGGTCCCCGATGTGCAGCGGTGTTGGGAGGTGGTAGGCTTGATAGGCCAGCGGGTAGACCTCCGGGCAGCGCTCGTGAATCCTGGCCAAGATGACGTCCCGTCGGATGGTGTTAAAAGCGTTACGCACGTCGATTTTGACCATAACTCGCGGCGTGTCTGAGCTGGTGGAGTCGGAGCTGATGAATTCCCGCACTGCGTGCACTGCGGCCTCGCATCCCAGCGGGGTGCCGACCCCGAGCTGGGTGGGGCGTAGCTCCGGACCGGTAATGTCAGCGATGTGTCTCGCGGCGATGCGTCCTGGCAGGCGGCGGAACAGGCTTCCAACGGCTATCGGGCGCAGACCACCGTCCTTCTTTCTCAGAGCGCAGAGTGATGCTCCGAAAAGAGCATCGCGACCACACTCTGGCACGAGGCCGCGCAGAACCAGGTTGGTGAGGGCCGTCAGGGAGGAGAGGAGGCGCCGGCCGGACTCGGCGGTCTCTCGGGAGAGCAGCTGTCGTAGGTGTAATGGCCGGATGCCGTCGAGACCAGCTGACGAGCCTGGTGGCATGCTGAAGATGGCGGCCCGCACCTGCTCCTCCGTGACAGTGAGCGGGGGAGGGTCGGAGGCCGCGGGAGGTGGCGGTAGGCTCTGGTCGAGTGGTGCGAGCGGGTGTTTCAGTCGGAGCGCGGCGATGACCTCGGCACTAGGGTCGACGAAGGTGTCGCTGGAGGTCAGGAGACGGAGACCGGCCCGGATATCCCCGTCGGCGCACTTAGCATGAACTCGACGAGCAAGGGAGTCAAGAGTCGTCCGTGGAGTAGGGGCGCGCCTCTCCACCGTCCGCGAGGGCGGAGCGGCAGAGTCTAGCCCGGCCACCTGACGTCGTATGTGTGACGTCAGTGTTGGGCCCCGTTCCCCGCTATTGGTCGAGTCGGGTGTGCGTAGAGCAACAAAGGCAAACGACAGAAACTTCCACCACGATGATGATGAGGTTGGACTGTTGACTGCCTCATTCACCACTTCTGACAGGGAATCGGCGACTAAAGACCGCGCAGCTTTCGGAATCCGGGCGATAACCTTCGTGCTGGCGCGGAGTTTCGACAAACCTGCCGCGATCCCGCAGAGTGGGGCTTCTGATGTCTGGGTGGGCGGCTCCAGTGTGGCAGCCGGGCGGCCAAGGCACGGCTGACAATGCCACACGGAGAGAGCTCGCGCCTGTTGGATGGTCAGCTTGGCGCAGGATGTGTGCCAGCGCTGGCCGCAGAGGCTGCAGGTGATTGCGGCCTTCCTTGAACTCCGGCTTCTGCATGCCTGGCAGCTGAGCGAGGCAGTTAGCTGGGTGGTGGCCGGTGGGCGGCTGCGTCCGATTGCTGTTTGTCGTTGATGAGCATTTTCGTTAGTTGCTTGATCCCTCCTTCTCTTGGGCTTTTTCTTTCTCGACGCGGTGACCCAATTTCCGTCTCTGGGGTCAAAGCCCTCGATTGGTGAATCAGAATCATCAGTATCCATTTATGCATCTTATCTTTTCCCAAAGCGGGATTTTCTTTTGATAGTTGACACGAGACACAAATGGAAAAATCAAAGGGCAAAACCTTTCCAGACTCGATGCGTTTTTTGGAAATTAGGTCAAAAATTGACAATATTTAGGCGTTTATACTGTGTAAAACGATGATTAAAAAACAATGAAAATGTGACCAAAATATTCTACGTTAGAATAGGAACATTTTTATATACATCACACGGCGTAGAAAATAAGTAATTACGTTACAGCGAACTAGAAAGCGGGGCATCTGCGGGCACGTCCGAACCCTTCGAGTGTTTTCAAGAGCAAAATTATTTTTAGTATTTACATTATTATTTTTTAGTATTACACTAGGGTTACCCGCGTGCTCCGCAACGCAAAGGGGGGATTTTTTGACCCGTGGGTATTGGGTTGGTCTGTGTCGATTTGGTTGGTAGATATCCATTTCGTTCGATTGCTTTTTTACGGCCAAGCATTTTGTAAGAAAACAAAAAGATACATCGCATCGAGGTGCCCGTGTCGTATTATCATGCGTTCTACTTTAGAATGATTCGAAAACTGGCGTGAAGTCTTTTGAGGGCCATCGATGAATTTCGCTAAAAATGACAATGTAATGGTTTGGAACATTTACATTTTTTAAGAATACTGTTGCTCATCATGCAAAAATGATGAGTGTATCTTGGACAAAATTGAATGCTCTTTCCAACGATGCCATTTTCAATTGCCAAACGTATCAGGTTACGCAGCAAAACCCGTGTAATTAATAAAGTGGCACATCATCGACAAACACCATTTTCTCTAGCGATTTGTACCACCTTGCCGTCGATCAATTAGCTATTCACAATTTTCCCATGAGAGGCGGTACATTTCTCTTGCCAATAGGCGTTGTTTCAACTCGCTCCGTCTGACGGTCACCTAAAAATAAAATCAATTCCAAAATTCGTCAAAAACCGCAGTTTTTCAACAAAAGTGCCCTCCCCGGTGCACGTGGCGCGTGCCATCCACTGCTTCGCACAACATTCGATAGCCCGTTCAATTCTGTACACGATGCTGTTTTCCCCGTGCCGGTCGGACCCCTGGTCACCGAGATATTGCACGGGAACTGGACCCGTGTCGGCCAAAATAAGCCGTTTTCGCCCGATTTCGCACGCCGATTTATACATGTAAAGTCTATGACGCGAATTTGCACTTTTTGAGCACGCGCCACGCGCTCCCTATCAATCCGATCGAGCTGAGACCCCTCAAAGGCACGTCGCGCATCCTTGATCTATAAGTTGTGCAAATTTCACCGGGCTAGGTGCAACGGTCTGGCCTGTAGTCCACGCAAAGCAGCACCAAGTCGGGACCTCGGTAACGGACAGACGCACCCTCCTCAAATAGTAATATAGATTATTATGCACCCTGCACGTGCGCACGTGCAGGGTGCCGCTTCAATATCTCGAAAACGGCCGGGCCGATTGCACCCAAATTTTGCACACCGCTCTAGACGGGCGAATAGGGTGCCGTGCACGTCAGTTTTTAGCACACCCACTCCGGTCTGCACGTGCAAGGCTCATCCTCTCGTTTGGCGGGTGGCGTTTTTGCGGCGTTACAGAGGTGCTTGCTCAAACAACCTGCGGTCCTATTAAACAAATGAGAGCAAGAAATCCACTAAGTGCGATTTCTTAAAATTATTTTTAGTAGTACAAGTATTTGTTTTATAAAATTCGTTCGTTCTGCTCACTGAAGCACATATGTATTCCTAGTGCGCCTGTCAACTTGTTTGCTAAACGACATCTAAACGCAGGATATTCAGCCGGAAGATTAGGAAGACACCGGTTACAAAAAACAAAATACTACTCTAACGAATTATTGAACACAAACCTACGGTTACCAGCTAAGCCTATCGAACAAACGACTTCATATCCCCCGTATCGCAGCTCGATTTCACCTCACACACCCGCGTCCCGCTGCAGGTACGCGCCGCTGTCGGTGCGGCTGGCTCAGCTGCTGGCGCGGCCCGGCTGGCGCTCAGTGTCCGAGGCCCTGGCGCTGCTGCCCGGCCCGACCCTGATGGAGGAGCAGCCGGCGCCGGCGGCCGCACGCAATCGGCGCGACACTGGCCCGCTGGGACTGAGCGCCGACGACGCGCGCCTCACCCTGGTCGTGTTCCTTGGAGGAGCGACGTTCGCGGAGGTGGCCGCGCTGCGCTTCCTCTCCAGCCAGGAGGACGGTGAGGAGGGCTCGGGAAGGGTGAATCGAGAGAACGGCATGGCTGGTTTTAAAAAGAGTAACCTTGTCAGCTGGGTATGCAATTAATGCGAATGGTTGGCACATCACATGTGGGATCTTTTAGCATTCGCTTTGTAGCCTGTTGCCTTTGATGACAGTGTCTTTTGTATATCCATGTCAACTAGCTTACAAGGCATCGTTTGTCACCAACACATTTCGGATAAAGTGTGTCTACTTAGCTGTCTGCAAACTGACACTGCCCCATCCTTCTCCCTCAGCGCCCACCGAGTACGTGATAGCGACCACCAAGATGATCAACGGCAACTCCCTGATCAGTTCGCTGTCAGAGGAGCTGGTACCGGTGGGCGGCGCGTAGGCAGGCGGATAGGCAGCGCGTAGGCGGTCGGACAGGACAGGTGGCGCCTGGACGGTGAGGGACATACAGCAACCGGCGCACAGCGTAGCGGTCTAGCGGCAAAGGCTGTGCTCATCACTTTTCATGCGTGCCGAAGCTTGCCGATGGCGAGTCGCCGTTTGCTAGACTGTCGCCGTGGCTACCCGGGGCAGGCTTTTGGTCTCGACTGAGTCTTGACTGAGAGATCACGATTTTCCGGGCCAAAGCGTCATACCAGTAAAACGCCTTTTGGGCGAAGAACGAGCGAGCGAGATAGTGAGCCCTGCACGTGCGGAAAGGCGAGAAGGTACTTCCAACGGGCTTGTGCAAAGCGCCCTTCTAACCGGTCGCTAGCGGTGTGCCAAATTTGAACGCAATCGGCCCAGCCGTTCCTGAGATCTGGAAGCGGCATTCTGCACGTGCGCACGTGCAAACGGGGTCCAAACTGACTTTTGCACGGCACCCTACTAACTGGTCCCCAACCGTGTACCAAATTTGAGCGCAATCGGCCCAGCCGTTCTCGAGATCTGGGAGCGCCCCCTGCACGTGCGCACGTGCAGTAGCACCCTAACCGCAACACACGGGAATGCATTGCCTGGTGGGTGCCTACCTGTATGCCAAGTTTCAGCGAAATCGCCCCAGTAGTTACCGAGTTATTGAAATGGGAACAAATTTGGCACCTCTTATTGTTGTATTTTGCACGTGCTTTGGGGGTCACTCACATACAGGGTGTTCACTAAAAATTGAGACAAAGTTTAGCAGGCTGTATCTTCGGTAAAAATGTACCGATTTAAACAAACGAGGCATTGTTGTAATGCACATTGCATCTGCTGCAAACCGTTGAGCGTCAACAGATTTGCCTGATTCCCGTAGGTCATTTTTTGGACATTTTCTTGTAAGTGTTTTCACAAGATCTGGCACCAGTGGACCGTGAATTTGGCCAATTCATGGCGGTAATGAGCAGCCAGTTGATATTTTGTATCAAATTTAAAGACACCAATATACGTAATAGCCTTCGGCAAATCACATTAGATACTCATTTGTTAATTTCAGTCGTGGCAAATGGCTTATCGGGCCTTGTTTCAATCATGCAATTTTTACATCGGCCGGAGCCCCCAAGGCGCCCCTTGATTAGTGTGCTGGCGCGAGGTCGTACCAGAAGATCACCTTCTGGTTACATATGTTGTTCTGCATGAACCTCTAGTGCTAAATAATACACTTGACTCAGAAAGTATCATATTGTAAAGGACCGGCCTGGAGGAATAAAGTCGAACTGATGATATGCTCTGAAATAACACACGTACCACGGCATCCAGCGTTAGCTAGGATGCTAAATGGACGTTAGCTCTTGTATCATTGATAACATCACTACAGAACACTCCATTGTCTAGTAAATTGTCGCCCTTTGACAAAAACATGATTTTTCTTTCTTAAATAGATCGGTCGTTTTCTGCAATTTGTGGCGCTTTCTTGACCTTTGTTTATTTACTTCTCTTGCCTTATGTTGTTCCCAGTCGCTTCGAGAAATCATTTACGCTGGTTGTAACTCATCCTAGCCTCAGGTGTGATATATGTTCTTCGCTTAGGCACAGTTAATACCTTACTGATCGGCAGCATTGCATCGTGAGGTGCCAAAAAGCCCCTCCACGTGCATTTTCGGGCCCCCGACCTTTCCTTTCGTCAGTATCTTCACATTTGCACCACTTCAGATTTTCTGACTCCCACACCCACTAGAACTTTCGTCCCACCATACGGTATGTAACTAATTTCGACATTTTAAGCTTTCATTAGGTATTTGTACGTGCCAGACTCTCCCATTGACGTACTATTTTGGGAAAGCGTGCCAATTGGCTTTCGGTGGGCCTTATTTAAAACGGCCTCCAACGCGACTGTTTTCATTACACCCATGAAATTTTATGTTCGGTATGATACAAAAATGTCCCTTTTATCTCCATGCTAAGTTGCATCGTAATAGCTTGCTTCACTTTTGATGTGCAGTCATTCAAAGTTTGTGTCAATTTTTAGTGAACACCCTATAGATCAAGAGTATCCGACCTTTGGTAGAAGGGATGCAGCTACCCTACAAAAATTACCGCAAGACAATCGCCCAAGCGGCTGCTGAGATATGGGCCTCTCAAAATCACTACTTTTGCAAAACAGCTTGAACACCCTTGACTTTTCACGTGGCACGTGCCACGACGGTCACTGAGATGTATCAAAAGTAGTCAATTACGGGGTAGAAGGGATGGGGCTACCCAGCAAAAAAGACCGCTGGCCAATCGGTCCAGCGGTTGCTGAGATATAAGCCTCTTAAAAGCGTTACAGGCTGGGCCGGGCCGGGCCGGGCCGGGCCGCTCATACAGAGATTTTTTCCGTTATATTGAAAAGACTCGCTTCGCTCGCTGCGCTCGCTCGCTCGTAATAAGCCTGGAGACAGAGTGCGTCAGGTATAAAGCTCCTCTCACCTTGGGTCAGTTCTTGCCTCGCTCCGTTGCGCTGGCCGCCGCTGAAAGACATTCCCAATCACTGGCTGTTGAAACGATATTGCCGTCGGTCGTTGGGATGGAAAATGAATATGAAAACACGCTTATCCAGCTACTGGTAAATGTATGTGCACCGGCGAGACTGGGATATCAGGTATTGTGTGTGAACGATTAGGGTTAACATTATCCGAAACGGTATTGTGTATGAACTATGGTTTACTTTATCCGAAACGGAAATGTATCTGCATTATTAATTTCCTAGTCCTTGTGTTCCCGCTATATGGCATGTGGGTTTAGCGGGATGGTTGTCAGGATGTCTGTGCGGATATGTAGTGTAACTTATCAAACGCTGCCCACGTGAAAACATGAGTAAACAGAAAAAAAAACAGAGAGTATCTACAAGAGCGGAGCGATTATCCGCAGGATTGTGTGATATCGTATATTGCAGTGCATGCTATTGTGTCGTCGCCGCAGGTGCATATGAGTGCATTTCGCTATATACATTCATATATGAACATTCCATCATTTTTGAACCTGTAATTCCAAACAGATGAATGGGGGGGGGGGAGACGGGACGAAGGTGTGCGCTAGTAAAAACGTATGCGCCTCAATAGATGCGATTTATAAGACCCAAGGGCTAGGTGGAGTTACCTTTCTGCACAGGTTACGATTTCACTCAGTAACTGCAACGAGTAACAATCTCACTCAAGCGTACGCAGAGCATGACCCGCAATCGCACGCCAACTGTGGTTGATTCTAATTATTGTTTGGGCGGCGCGCAAAGCTCCGAATCCCGCATCAGCTAAAATAAAGTGCTTTGTAAACTGTAATATGTATATTATGCATTGTTGACTCGTATACTTTGCCAGTATTTAAACATTATTAATATATTGTGCAGCACAAATAAATGAAAGCAAAACAGTCCCGCAGTTGCCCACTAGCACGATTACACAGTACACGCTATGAGCCTGTCATGGGTATGTAGATAAGCAAATCAATAAAGCCGCAGTACACAGCCCTTACATGGAATAGTCTGTGCATGGTAACCGAATAGGTGCAACTATCCATTACCATTCTGGTGTAACCCACTAAACAAAGCCATCACATAAGGCTGCAGCAGCTTTACAAAACACGATATAGAGCACACCGCACTATCCTGTAATGACATAGCCACAGCCAAGAGCAGCGCCAGCTCACATAATTGGGCAGACCAGGTAGCACTCAGCTCCATCGAGTCCAGGTTGGGTCCACGAGCTCCCACTTGGAAACTATACAGCAGGCAGGATCGGCCACCGAGCCCAGTCAGCAACACCACAGCCCGCCCGATATCGCTGCACCGTCTACAAATATCTCCACCGTACAAATTTACGCGGCTTGGACAGCACAGCATATTCATCCTCCCGTGTCCGGCTCGATCCGTGGAGTCCCTACACCACCAGCTGCGCCGCTTGACTAGGGTCTGAGTGTCTGCCGGAACTATAGGGACTGGAGTGCCGCCAGAACTATAGGGTTTCAGCGTCCGCCGGGATGAGGGTTTTAGCGTCCGCCGCGACTAGGGTTTGAGCGTCTGCCGGTACTGGCCGATCTGCTGCAGCACTGACCGGTTGTTGGGACCACACAGACCCTCCACATACGCCAGCGCGTCGCGGTCGCGCTGCTCGAACGCGATCCGGGCCGCGTCCTCCAGCAGCCTGCAACGGGCGGACGGCGTCAATGAACCGGAGTGGTGGCCCCACTGACGAACGCGTAGGAATTAGCGAGTCGATTCTATGAGATGTTAGGGGGGGGGGGGTGAGAGTTCCATTTGAGCGGTTTCATCTAAGATTCAGCCCAGCTGGGATTACGCGTGTGATGTTTTTCCTTGGGTGTTAATCGGTACACGTGACAACTACGGACAATTAATCTGAACAAGAGTAAAACAGCTTACCCGGCCTTGGCGTAGTATTTGACTTTGTTTTCGTCGTTGACGCGGGGCAGATACTTTTTGGCCTCGACAAGACTGCCGTGCTCCAGACACGCGTCCACGAACGGCTGTAACGAGAAGATCCACTGGATGTCAGAGGTCTGTCGGCAATAATACCCAAATATGATATGAGATTGCAAGACACAAAGATCTTTTCTCCAGTTTTCCCTGGGCAGACAGGGAGCTGACACAAGCAGCTGATAAAAGAGCTAAAATCCGTCTGGCCTTATTTAGCAAAAATAAACAAAATAGCCTCGGTGAATTTTCAGCTCACCTCGTAACCGACGGGCGACTTTTTGCTCTTGGCGAATTTCTCCAGTTCGGCCCACTGCTCTCCCTCCGCCAGCGCAAGCAGCTTGGTCCACCAGAACCTGAGCCACATGCGTCATCGATCAATGAAGGAACTCAATTGACATCAATTCACTGTAACGTTCTACTCAAGCTTGACTATAACGTAATTAGCTGAGCAGACGGTACCAAGTTCTTTTGACAAGAACCATTTTACAACATTCACGTCACGATGGCTCGCCTCGAGCTCACTTACGTACGTACCATTTGTCTTATATTTTGTACTGTACTCGCCACGTACCGTTTGTCTGACATTTTGTTCTGGACACGTACCGTTTGTCGGAGATTTTGTACTGGACACGTACCGTTTGTCTGATATTGCGTACTCGCCACGTCGTACCGTTTGTCTGATATTTTGTACTGGACACGCACCGTTTGTCGGAGATTTTGTACTCGTTGCGCAGGCTGTCGGCCAGTTTGTGTCGGTCGGATAGGATCA